CGGGGGAGGGGGGGCGGGCAGCAGGAGAACGGAGAAGCATCCACAGAAATGTGGCCGAGTCGAAGTGTGTTCCCTGTGACCCTTCATTCATTCATTCATTGGTCCATTTACCAATGCTTCACAGCAGGCCCTGTTCTACCAGGGATGCTGACCACGTTCATGCCTGTGGCATTTGGCTCAGTGGACAGCTCTGTGGACTCTCCCAGCTGGAATCTTGTATGGACTGAGTTATGCACCCTCCCCCCTCCAATTCATATGTCAAAGCCCTAACCCCTAATGTGATTTGGACATGGGGTTTGGGGAGGTGATTAGGTGGAGAGCAGGTCATGAGGGTGGGGCCCCAGGATGGGATCCGTGCCCAGGTAAGTCGAGGGAGAGAGGAGAGCTCTCTGTCTCCATCATGTGAGCGCACAGTGAGAAAACAGTTGTCTTTGAATCAGGGAGAGAGCTCCCACCAAGGGCTGAACCTGCTGGCGTCTTGATCTTGGATGTCCCAGCCTCCAGACCATGATAAGCAAATGTCTGTCGTATGTGCCCCCTGGTCTGTGGTATTTGTTATAGCTGCCCAAGCTGACTAAGACAGGTCCCATGACGCTCTCCCCGTTCCCTCCCACCTCTCTGAGCTCTGTTTCTCCTCTGGGGTTCCTGCTCTGTGTGCCTTCAGCTGTTGGCATCCTCCAGATTCCATCCTCAACCCCTGCTCTTGACTCAGCACACCCCACCTGGACCAGCTCATCATTTCAACCATGTTCCAGATCCCAGCTCCCTTCCAGGTGGGTCCTCCTGCCATTCTTTATCCCTACGGGGATCTCAAGGTCAACATGCCCCAAACCAAGCTCTCTTCTTTCCCCACAAATGGTCTTTTTTTCCTCCCCTAGTCTTTGCCTCCTCTGGAGCCTCACTCTCTCTATCTCCTCAGTGCTGGGGAGCCAGAAATCATCACGGATTCCACACCTCCTTCCTGTCTGGCCACATCCAGTGTTCTCACTGATGTGTGTCCTGTGTCTTTCTCAGGTCTTCTCCTTTTCTTTCCCCCGGTCTCGGTCCTGTTGAGGCACTCCCACTCCCTTGCCTGGATACTGCACATCTCTCTCTGCTCCTGGCCCCTCTTCCTTGGATCTGCACTGCGGTGGGCATGGAGGATTATTGAATAGTTTTCCTTTCATAAGCCAGGGTCCCTCATGATGCCTACTCCCTGCTTTTCCAATAGCAACATCCACATCATCATTGCTATTGTACTAGTCTGCTAGGACCACCATAACAAACCACAGACTGGTGGCTTAAACAGTAGAAATTTATTCTCTCCCAGTCTTGGAGGCTGAAAGTCCAAGATCAAGGTATGGGTAGGGTTGGTTCCCCCCTGAGGCCTCTCTCCTTGGTGTGTAGATGGCTGTGTTCTCTCTGTGTCCTCACACGGTCATCCCTCTGTGCATGTCTGTGTCCTGTTCTCCTCTTCTTAGAAGGACACCAGGCCTATTGGATTAGAATCTACCCCAAGGACCTCATTTTAACTTAATCATATCTTTAAAGGCCCTGTCTCCAAACATGGTCATGTGATGTGCTGGGGGTTAGGCTTCAACACAGGGATTTTCAGGGAGCATGGTTCAGCCCATAACAATTACCATCATCGTCGATCATGCCACATTTGTCATCATCCTGTCATCTGCCCCATGACCATTTATTGATCACTTAGTATGAACTGGGCTCTGGCCTAAACCTTTTCATGCACAGTCTCATTGATTTCACAACACACCCATGACCTACATTTTTTCAGGGATGGAGAAGAGAAGTGAGGTCAATCCCCCATGTTGCCTACTAAGAAAGTAGCTCTCTCATGCCCTGGCTCTGCTGAAATGTCATTATCTGCTCAGTCTGTAGGCCAGGGGAGCCACCGTGCAGCCCATCAGCTTGCAAACCAGACCCATTTTTCTGACTTATGTAATTTGGCTCTCTCACAGAGAAATAGTCCTGAACATTTGACTATGTTCATGAGATGTCTGAATGAGCAAAATGTTTCACTGTGCTTGTCAAGAAATGTAGGATCTCTATTCTTCTCCTTAAAGCATTTTAAATCGGCATTTTCTTGGCCCTGAAGCCTCCTGACACCATCCAAGATGGTCCCCTCCCTGCCCCCACCCTAAGAGCCTCCTGAGTCACCCCCATTGTAGCCCTTACATGGTGCTTGCTTACCTAACTCTTGACAGGGAGAGCATGGTGGCGAGGACTGAGTTTGGTTTATTTCTGGCCCAGGGCCTGGAATAGGACCAGACCTGCAAGAAGGTCAGGAAGGAAATACAAAATAAACAGAAGATCTTGTAAATCCAAAGGGACACCAGAGGCCATGGGTATTAAGAGTGTCAACGAGGCTTTTCATCTCATTCTTGTGGTTTGTGTTAGACTAATAAGGGATCAAGACTGTGCATGTGTGTGCGTGCCCGTGTGTGTGTGTGTGTGTGTGTGTGTGTTTTAGGGGGCATCACTACTCTTTAGTAGTTCCTGACAATGATCTGTCATTTAACTGACCCTGTAGAAGGCAGAATTTTACAATGGCCCCTTGACCTTCTTACCTACCCCCTCCACTTCCATGATTATGTTATATTACCTTGTAAAAAGAAGATTGTCTAGATGGACCTGATCTAATCACATGAGCCCTCTAAAAGCAGAGAGATTTCTCCTGACCAGTTACTAAAAGGAAAGTAAGAGAGATTTGGTGCATGAGCAGGATTTGATGCACTATTAGAAATCTCTGGATGCTCAGAGCCAGGGAAGAAACAGGGACCCCCATCCTATGACCACAAGGAGCTGAATTCTGTAAGTGTGCCTCCAAGCCCCCTCCCCCAGGCCTCTCTGTACGCCTATCTCTTGTTCCTCCTGTCCAGGCACATTGCCCAGTGATCTGACCCCAGCTCTCTGCCAAAAAGCTCTTGCCTTGACATAGGCTGAGGGCCATTTTTTCGCCTGTGGATGTCCAGTTGCTCCAACACCATTTATTGAGAGGCCATTTTTCCTCCACTGAGTTGTTTTTGCACTTTTTTCAAAAATCAGTTGGGCATATTATGTGGATCTATTTCTGGGGTCTCTGTTCTGTCCAATTTTTATGCATATGTCTATCCTTCTTTCTGTATCACCCAGTCTTGATTTTTGTAGCTACATAGTAGGTCTTAATAGTGGACAGAGTGAGTCCTCCCACTTTATTGTTCTTTCTCAAGACTGTTTTAGCTATTCTGGGGCTAAAATAACCCACTCCTCTTAGGATAGGCCTTGGGCCCTATATCTCCCTCCCTCCCTTCTTGTCTTTTTTCTTCTGCCCCTCCCTCCCGCTGTCCCTCTCAATTTCATTGTCAGTAATGCCATAGAGCAAACTTCTCCAAAACTAGTGGCTTACACCAGTGAGACATTAGCGTCCTTACTACTCTGCAGGTTGTCTCTGTTGGTCTCAGCTGGTCTCTCTCTCACTTGTCTGGGGATTGGCTGGCTGTCACCCTGGGATGGCTTCACCAGGGAACTGGGCTGCTGATATTGCCAGTATGTCACTGTCCCAAAGGTAGCCTGCATGTTCCTGTGCTGGAGGTAGATAAGCAAGGGAGAAGCAGGTGTACGCAAGCACTTTCTCAAGCCTCAGCTTGACTCAAGCCTGCTAACATCACACTGGCTGAGTCAATCCATGTGCTATGGCTGAATGGGGGATCAGTGGGTGGGGAAGTATACTTTACCTCTTAAGCCAGAAGGTCACCTTGCAGAGGACTTGGGGACAGGGAGGGGTGGGAAATTGGGGCAATTAATATTGTCAATCTACTACAGCCCCGAGCTCCTCCTTCTGCTGCTGCCTTCTGGGAGCTGTCCTGGACCTGCCCCTTTTCAGACCCCCCCACCAGGCCAACTTCACCGTTAAAGATTCAGTCCCAGGAGTTGGAAGTTTAAAGTCTTGGTGTGGTGAATACCCAACATACGCACCGAGGACCTTTAAAATTTCCAGGATCTCAAATGTATGCCAATGGAGAGGGTTTGCTTATGTTTAATGAGAAGATAAATCAAAACATAATCATATGAGTCCAAATATTGGCTTGTTTCTTCCTCCTGTCTGGCTAAGTTCCGTTCAGTGTTCATGATGAATAAAGCAGATAGGCAGAACCAGTGTCCAGAGTGCCTTTATCTCAGCACTGAGCCGTAGATTAGCCATACTATCCTCCGTACAAAAGGAGAGGTAACAGACTGTGTTTGTGACTATTAGCTGTCACCTTCTCCCCATTCTGCTGATCAGTAGGTGAGTTGAAAAATACCAGTAGACTCTAAACCACGAATTACGCCCCCTAATCCTATACTGTTCTTTCCCTAAAAAGGTGAGGGAATGGAGAACTTTGTTTGCAGGAGAAACAGTCATGCTTTTAGTATTTGCAGAGCTCCACTTGGGACACTTGCATTGGGAGCGAGCTTGGACCTAACCGATGGTCTAGTTGCGTCTGTTCTTCCAGGTGATTTGTCGTAAGATTGCACAACCAGAAGTTAGTTTGAGAAGTGACCAAAGCCTGCCTCGCCCAGGGCTGGTTAGCTTTGATTCTACCCTACCAGGATGAAGAGCCAGATGTTTTGGAAACATGATGTTTCCAAAATAT